CACTAAATTTTTTTTTTTTTTTTTTTTTTTTGCTGCGTTTTTTAAATCTGCTTAATAAAAATGCAAAACACAGCAAAAACATACTGCATGCTTTTCTGACACAAAAACACAATGCAGAAATGGGTCAAATGTAAATTGCATTGGTGTTTTCACCCGCTGTTTTATTGGAAAGGATCGGGGACTTTTTTGAACGCTTAAAGTTGCATTTTTGGTTCTATAGACTTCAATGGAAACTCTGCAGAAAAGCATGTAATGCATTTTTGCATTTTTTAAATCTGCCTAGTAACAAGAAAAATGCAAAATGCGGCAAAAACGCACTACATGCTTTTCTGGCGCAAAAAGACAGAGCAGAAACGGATCAAACGCAAACTGCATAGGTGTGACCATTTGGAAACTCGGGCAATGCCTGAGGGCCCGGGGTCAGAAGGGGGCCCCATGAGATGCCCCTGGTACCTTTTTTTTTTTCATAGGCTTTTTTGAGTTTGGGCAAGGACACAGGGGCCCCATGATCCCCTATTGCCCGGGGGCCCCATGAGTTGTCAGTCCGCCCCTGGTGTGAACCTAGCCTTACCCCAGGTTCACACCTATTCGTTTTTCAGAAACGCACAGCAGTCCATTTAACATGATTTCCTATGGGACGGGTTCACATCTCAATGTGTTCACCCCGGTGCGTTTTATTGGAAAGGGTCAGGGACTTTTTTGAATGCACAAAATTGTTTTTGCTTCTATAGACTTCAATGGAAACGCTGCAGAAAAGCATATACTGCGTTTTTGATGCGTGCAGTTTTTGTTCTGTTTTTTTTTTTTTTTGCATTTTTTTTGTAAATCTGCCTAGTAACAAGAAAAACACAATGCGGCAAAAAAAGCACTACATGCTTTTCTAACTCAAAGCAGAAACTGGTCAAATGCAAACTGCATGGGTGTGAACCTAACCTTAGACAGGATCCAATTTACCTACCAGCATGTGTTTGGAGTGTGGGAGGAAACTGGAGAAAACTCGCACAGGGAGAACATGCAAGCTGCAGACAGGTGGTGGCGTAGTTGGGATTTGAACCAATGACGTGTGTGTGTGTGTGTGTGTGTATGTATGTATGTGTGTGTGTGTATGTATATGTATGTATGTGTGTGTGTATATATATATATATAATTATAAAATTAATGTTTTTTTTTTTTTTTTTTTTTTTTTTTTTTTTTTTTTTTATGGTTAAGCTGGATGGACTTTTGGATGGAATTCCTAAGTTGTATTCGGCAAATCTAAGGGCAGCGGGGAGGCAATGCTTAGAGGGCAAGTTCTAGCCTTTTCTTCTACCCCTGAGCAGGGGCGGACTGACAACTCATGGGGCCCCCGGGCAATAGGGGATCATGGGGCCCCTGTGTCCTTGCCCACACTCAAAAGCCTATGAAGAAGGTACCAGGGGCATCTCATAGGGCCCCCTACTGACCCCGGGCCCTCGGGCAGTGCCCGAGTTTCCAAATGGTCAGTCTGCCCCTGAGGGTAATTCTGTGTGTTGGGTGGTTGCACCAGTTCCCATATATGGGTCCCAGCTGTGAGTATGTCTGTCTGCCACATGTTCCCTCTATACAGTGCAGCTTCAGGGGCAGCGCAGGTCCTTCAGGCTCCCCAAATATGCTCCGGACATCCCCAGGAACAAGAACTCTGCATACACCATTAAGCCCCCCGCAGCCTCTCTCAGATCCCACCTGGTCCCCACGCTGCTTGTGTCCCTTCTTCCATCCCTTCTTTAGGGAGGCAGTGCTGTCCCTCTGAAAAATGCCGCTGCCCCCCTGAAAGATGCCGCCCTAGGCAAATGCCTAGTTTGCCTTGTGGTAAATACGCCCCTGGCTATTGATCGACTTCTCACAAATGGGACTGCTGGAAATTTTCAATTCGAACAGCGCTGCAGCCAATAGGTCTGTGATCTGTGTTTCCTGATGGCAGGGAGGCAGTGGCAGGGGCGTATTTACCACAAGGCTTTTGCCTAGGGCGGCATTTTTCAGGGGGGCAGCATTGCCCCCCAGAAAAAAGGACAGAATAAGGGATACATGTGGCATGGGGACCAGGTGGGATCCGAGAGAGGCTATGGGCTGCTTGATGGTGTATGCAGAGCCTGACTCTCATTCGCGTGTGTGTGTGTTTTTTTTATTTATTTTTTATTTATTTTTTTGTATGGTTGAGCTGGATGGACTTTTTGTATTTTCTTTTTTTTTCAAAACGACTAACCATGTAAATTTTTATATATGTGTGTTTAGGGTGAAGATCCTGCCAGGCGTTCCCCTTTAAAAAGTGAATTCCTACAAGTTGTATGCCGCAAATGTAAGGGTAGCGGGGAGGCAATGCTTGGAGGGCGAGTTCTAGTCTTTCCTTCTACCCCCTGAGGCAGAGGCGGACTGACAACTCATGGGCCCCCCGGGCAATAGGGGATCATGGGGCCCTTGTGTCCCTTGCCCAAACTCAAAAAAGCCTATGAAAAAGGGACCAGGGGCATCTCATGGGGCCCCCTACTGACCCCGGGCCCTCGGGCAGTGCCCGAGTTTCCAAATGGTCAGTCCGCCCCTGCCCTGAGGGTAATTCTGGCAGAAAAGGGGGCGTTAGGTGGTTGCCCCAGTTCCCATATATGGGTCCCAGCTGTGAGTATGTCTGCCACATGTTCCCTCCATACAGTGCAGCTTCAGGGGCAGTGCAGGTCCTTCATGCTCTCCAGCTATGAAAGTGCTTCTGATCTTCTTCTTACGGAGAGTCTGAAGTCTCCTCCTGGAACAATCAGGCAGAACTTTGTGGGTTGTGTCATTGAGGTGCCTCGTGGCTGTCCCCTCCCCGTCCCCTCTATAGTCCCTGCAGGCAGTGGTTGAGCGCTCAGTGTCAGGTTGGCACCAGCAGCAGCCGGGTGAGGAGCTCCTCATTTTTCTTGGCCTGTCCTCCAGCAGAGGCTCAGATCTGCTCCTGGACTGGTTTGGCTGGAGCATGTTCTTTGCAGAAGTTTCTCATATAAACCCTTTTTTTTCTGCATGCTGGGAGCTGTCTGTGCACGCTGATCTCCTCCCTCCTCCTCCTCCTCCTCCTTGGCTTCCTCCTTTTTTTGTGTCGTGTCACCTCTTCTCCGCTCACAAGCCCCCATCAGCTCAAAGTCCCTGTTTCTGTTTGATGGAAACTTTCTCTCCCTGGAAACTTTTTAACTTTTGCGAACTCTCACTAGAGCTGCTGGATTCCCCTTCCCGTCCTTTCGCGCAGCCATGAGCGCCCTGAGAATTGGGGTGCCCCGGGGGGCCCGGGTCCTTGCTCCCCACATCCCCGCTCTGAGCTCCCCTCTTCTTTCCTCCTCCAGGTCCGCCTCGGGAACGAAGCTGGCAGAAAGGGACCGGAGGCTCGCGGGCAAGATGACCGAGAACGGCGTTCAAAATCGGATCCTGACTGTGGAGTCCATGAACCCCTGGATCAAGAAGGTGGAGTACGCCGTCAGGGGCCCCATAGTCACCCGAGCCGTGGAGCTGGAGAAAGAGCTGCAGCAGGTAAAGCCCGGGGGCCACGTTGTGTGTTTACTTCGGGCAAACAAAGGACACTTGTGTGCTTTTTACGGGCTGCGATTATGTATGGGCGCAGGGCAGGGGGAGCGAAGGGTTAATACGCAGGCGATCGTGGACGGCTCGCGCGTCATTGTCAACCGCAAAGCCTGGGCACGTAGCGACGACGGTGCAAGGTGTCACATATTGACACACAGGTATCAGGTGGTGTGAAAGCAGGCAACAGAAAACTTCAATAACTACGGAGAATTCTTCACCGGAAAGATGAGGATACCGATCTCTGTCAGGACAGGGAGGGGGTCTTTACTGTAAAAGCGGTAATTGATGTAACATGTCCTGCCGTATGGAAACTAATGTAATAAAACACATCTGGATGATTTTGCTACAAGTATCGGCATCCACGGTACTGAAGGACAGTACAGGAATGTTTTTGCAGACGATGAATGTAGAGGGAACTTTTTCTTTGGCAGGTTGCCCCCCCCCCCCCCCCCCCCCCCCCCCCCCCCCCCCCCCGGGTGGGTGGTGTTTTGAAGATGGGTTGCCCTCCTCATGGCAGATCCTGTTGAAGTCAAATGGGCAGTTATTTGTTTTTTTTTTTTTTTCCCCTAACATCATTAATCACAGCAATGAAGCCTTTTGCTGGAGGAGCCCCTATTTACACCTAAGCTGGCCATACTTGGGTTGAAAATCGAGCACTTCAGCAGGAACCGGGCAAAGTTCGATCCATGTGTGGCCATTTCTGTTCATGAGAAGTCGAGCGATTGACAGCGGTGTATTTAGGTTTTCTGCTGCCCTAGGCAACACAATAATCAGATGCCCCCCCCCCAGGGGCGGACTGACAACTCATGGGGCCCCCGGGCAATAGGGATCATGGGGCCCCTGTGTCCTTGCTCACACTCAAAAAAGCCTATAAAAAAAGGTAACGGGCATGTCATGGGGCCCCCTACTGACCCCGGGCCCTCGGGCAGTGCCAGAGTACCAGAATGGTTAGTTCGCCCCTGGCCCCCCCATACACTGGCAACCCCCACCCCGGCGAGAGAGAAGACACTCGCCTTCACAGCTCCGGACATCCCCGGGAACAAGAGCTCTGCATACACCATCAAGCACCCCGCAGCCTCTCTCAGATCCCACCTGGTCCCCACGCTGCGTGTGTCTCTTCTTCCATCCCTTCTTTTAGGGAGGCGGTGCTGCCCCCCTGAAAAATGTCGCCCTAGGCAAATGCCTCGTTTGCCTTGTGGTAAATACGCCCCTGGCTATCGATCGACTTCTCAGAAATGGGACTGCTGGAAATTTTTCAATTCGATCAGCGCTGATCTGTGTTTTCTGATGGCAGGGAGGCAGTGGCGTATTTTACCACAAGGCATTTGCCTAGGGCGGCATTTTTCAGGGGGGCAGCATTGCCCCCCAGAAGAGAGGACAGAATAAGGGACACATGCGGCATGGAGACCAGGTGGGATCCGAGAGAGGCTGCGGGCTGGTTGATGATGTATGCAGAGCCCGACTGTCGTTCCCGGAGATGTCTGGAGCTGTGATAGTGAGTGTCTTTCCCTCTCTGTCAACGGGTGGGGTGGGGGGGGACTGTGTGTAAGTGGAAGGCTCCCTCACGTGGGGGGGGGGGGGGCAGGGGTGTTGGTCAATGTCAGGCTCTTACCGTGTGGGGGGGGGGGGGGGGGTCTTGGGGTTGTCTTTTTTTTTTTTTTTTGTCGCCTAGGGCAGCACAAAACCTAAATACACCACTGGGCAGTGGGGGGGGGGGGGGATGCAAAATCACATGTATATATACTTGATTTTGCGCACCCATTCCGCCCTGTGGCAGTATTTCTGCTGTAGGATGGCGCGGAAGCTGACAAAATGCTGGAAAACTTCTGGGTAAAAAAAGCACTGGTAATAGTTTTTTTGTTTGTGTTTTTTTTTTTTTTATTTTTTTTTTTTTTTTTTTTTTTTTTTTTTGTTTTGTTTTTTTGTTTTGTTTTTTTGTAGCATTTAGCAACGTTAGCGTTTTTACAGTACATCTAGGAAAAAAGCTGCTAGGAGCATTTTAGGTGTGTTTGTAGGAGCTTTTTTTTCTTTTTTTTTTTTTTTTTTTTTCTTTTTTGCTGGAAAAACCGCTCCAAAAAACTCTACAAAAACCTATATATATATATTTTTTTTTTTTTCTTCTAGATGCTGAAGCTCAAACACTTGTAGTATAAATTAGTGCGCATGGATACATAGGAAAACCCTCGCTGTCAGAATACAGTGACACAGCGAGGAGAATTCTCCCGTGCACATCAAACGTCTGGATGGGGAAATCGGTTCAGTTTTTTTTTTTTGTTTTTTTTTTTTATCGTTCAGCTGGCTGAAGAAAAAAAAAAAACAAAAAAGAAAAAAACCTGAACCATGTATGTTCAGCCTCGCCCGGGTTCACACCAATGCGTTTTTCCATTGCGTTTTCCAGGAACGCAGTACAGTCCATTTATTATTGTTATTATACAGGATTTATGGCGCCAACAGTTTGCTCAGCGCTACAATATAACGGGAGACAATACAGTTCAATACAAGAGGGATAGGAGGGCCCTGATCCTGGGAGCTTACAATCTAGGAGGGAGGGGCTAGTGATACAAAAGGTAATAACTGTGGGGGATGGAGTGGTAGGAAGAATAGAGGATTCCAGTATTAGCTGAGGGCAGGATAGGCTTCCCTGAAGAGAGAGGTTTTCAGAGATCGCCGAAAAGTGAGCAGAGTAGGCGATAGTCTGATAAATTGGGGTAGAGAGTTCCAGAGGATGGGGGAAGCTCTGGAGAAGTCCTGAAGACGAGCATGGGAGGAGGCGACAAGTGAGCTAGAGAGTAGGAGGTCGTGGAGGAGCGGAGAGTGCGGTTTGGGTGATATTTGGAGACAAGATCGGTGATGTAATTTGGGGCGGAGTTATAAATGGCTTTATATGTTATTGTTAGCAGGGGCGGACTGACAACTCATGGGGCCCCCGGGCAATAGGGGATCATGGGGCCCCTGTGTCCTTGCCCAAACTCAAAAGAGCCTATGAAAAAGGTACCAGGGGCATCTCATGGGGCCCCCTACTGACCTCGGGCCCTCGGGCAGTGCCCGAGTTTCCAAATGGTCAGTCCGCCCCTGCTTCTTAGTGTAAACCTTTAACATGATTTCCTATGGGACACGTTCACATCTCCGCGTTTTTTCACCCGGTGCATTTTTTCGGAAAGGGTCGGGGACTTTTTTGACCGCAAAAAGTAGTGTTTTTGGTTCTGCAGACTTCAATGGAAGCGCTGCAGAAAAGCATTTAGTGCATTTTCGATGCGTTTTTTGCGGTTTAAATCTGCCTAGCAACAAGAAAAGAGAAAAATGTTAAAACGCGTTAACTCAACGCAGAAACGGGTCAAACGCAACCAGCATAGGTGTGGAGCTAGCCTTGGTCCTGACGTGACTGGAGTCGCATACATGCAGCTCACTATATCGCATGTGATTCGCACAGGAACCGCACCGCATTGCTGTGCAGATCACATGCGATTTGTGTGCGGTGCGATCGGAGACGTACATGCTGTATGGCTTTAATCGCACCAAAAACGCACAGGACCCTTTTTTTTTTGGTCCACACTAGAATCTGATCGCACGGGTATTCACACCTATGCGATCCGATTCTGCACATCGCACCGCGTTTTGTAGACCGATTTTGGGGTGTTAACTCAACATACACACCCGCAGCTGTTGGCATGAACGGGATGCGATTCTGATGCGGTGCGGAATTCGCACTGAAAACGCTGAGAATTCCGCACCACAACGGTGTCAACCAGGGCTGACTCTCAACTGGTTTCCATTATATTCAGTGGTGCCTGTTCACACCTCCGCATCGTGTCCAGGGGCGGACTGACCATATGGCAGCTCGGGCACTGCCCGGGGTCAGTAGGGGGCCCCATGAGATGCCCCTGGTACCTTTTTCATAGGCTTTTTTGAGTTTGGGCAAGGACACAGGGGCCCCATGATCCCCTATTGCCCGGGGGCCCCATGAGTTGTCGGTCCGCCCCTGATCGTGTCGCTTCAGGTTAGTCACTCAAAGTACGACTTCATTTAGATGTGCGGTTGGGGAAGGGGTGGCAAAAATGCATGGCTGAGCTGCATTTTTACTGTCCCCCCT